TCCATATAAAGTTACTATAACTAAGGGGACAATCGCTACCGCTTGCTTCTTTTTAAAAAGATCCCTTTTTCCTTTTGTTCTTTTATTCAAAGTGACACTTTCCCCCACAATATTCCTTATTTTGTTGGCAAGGTTTCTGATTCTTATATTTTTGGGAAACATTTGTCAATAGCTATATGAAATTTCCCTTTTTTTTGGGAAATATTTGTCAATAGCTATATGAAATTTCCTTTATTTTTTTTTGGGTAATCATATGACCACTTGCTTCAAAAATGGCATGGCATAATAACACTATTTTCTTTTTTATAGTTAGAACCAGTGGTTTAAAAAATAGATCGATGCCCCGGATCGGGCACTCCAAAAACTTATCCGGATCAGTGAATCGGTGATTCGGATCGGGAATCGGCCGAATCGGTCGGATTGAGCTTTAAAACAAATCCAGAAAAATTATTAAAATTCATTATAAATGTTGTCTTTTAGGAATCCAATAAGAAATGAGAGTACTATATTATTTACTTTCACGTTTTTTTTATCAATTTGTGAATATTGAGATGTTCTTTCCTTGTATAAACTTATGTTAACAGTTAGAATTATCATGTATAAAGTATATAATTATACATAGACTTCAATAAATAGTAGATTAAATTGATGAAAAAATGGCCACTAAAATCTCGAATTGACGAAAAACCCTAATCAGCTAAAAAAACCCAAATTATTACAACCTAACTAACTATAATCCAAAATTATTACAACTTAACTAACTATTATATTATATACTGAAATTAAAATATTTGGTTTACATTTTATAATTATTTTATTATACAAATAATAACAATCCAAAATTTATAATATTATCTAATTTAAAATGTATTATTGACAACTGTAAGAAAATTAGTACATTACATGATTTATAATGTAAAAATTAATAAATAGAATAAAAGAATTGATTATCAATGTAGAAATTATTAAAATGCGTATCGATTTTTGAAATAACACTTTAATTTTTTAAAAAATTAATTTTTTAGGTTTCTAGAATAAATTTAGTAAAAGATATTATTAGTAGAAAGAGAATGATTTCAAATAGAATAAACTTTTCATTTTTCATTTTTTTTACGCCTTTTATATTGTTTACAACAAAAATAATTTATAGCGCTTGGGACATCAAGGAAGAAATTACAACAAAAGAAATACATAGCGCCCAAGGCAAGAGGATTCAACCTTAAGCTGTCAAGGAAGAAATTGGACGTAATAACCGTCAATGCCACCTCGCCGCACGTGATATCATGTTTCCTATTAATAGTATACATTCAAATTCGATCTTCATTTAATGATGCTTGAGGGAATTATCCCACATCGAAGGATCAATATTCAACTTTCCTCTATAAATAACAATGTAATAACATATAAAGTGCACGAGCAAAGCTGCTGAGGCAGCCCAACATGTGAGGTACTACGTGTGATCGTGATACTTCGGGGTATGAGATTGTGCCACGTGCGGGGTGTGAGATTGTGCCACGTGTGGGGTGTGAGATTGTGCAATGTGTTGATCTGAAGATTGGTGATTCATAATCGCGGGTTTATGATGTCATCGGGTGGTTTACTGTTCAGAACCGCCTAGTTCTCTCTAGACACGGGCAGTTCTCGTGTATTTTACTGGAACTAGTGGAACAGGCACCCCCGGGGGTACCAATTCTCGAGTCGGACATGCCGACTTTTCAAACACTGGTCAAAATTATGTATTCAAATTGGACATCATCCTATGAGAAAAAAAAAAGACAATTATATATTCAAATTGGACATGATCCTATTAAAAAAAAAGACAAAAGATCTCTTAAGTTGCACTTCCTTTTTCTTTTCTCTTTTTTGTAATTTAAATTGGAAACATTGTAGATTTATTCCCAAATATACCAAACACTTGTGTCTGTTCATTAATTTGATCTCATTATTTAACTAAGAAAATATTCACTACTGATCTCATGAGGTCTTTTAATCGCCATAAATCTCTTTTCCTTGATAGAAGAACCTGGGTTATATCCTGACCAATGTAGAACTTTTTATTCAATTCCTATTCATATTGATATTGGTCACAAACACAAGGATTGCCTCATAGAAAAGGTCCGAATAAATTGTTAAATTAATTCATACTTATATTGATATCGTTCACCAAACAAAGCAATTACCTCGTAGACTATTCACTAATCACCATCAACCCTAACCACTAAGGCCGAAAAGATATTCTACTCTCTCTCACGGGAGTAAAATTTCCATTTACTCCGTTGGTTAAATCCCTTGGGTAAATCCCAACTTTGAATTACTTTTAGGATTTCAAAATTTGAGGGTGCAGCCCCTTCAACCTATAGATTAACCGAGTGTTTGCAAAATCCGACCTGGGGCTGGGAGTGGTTAGAATCGGAACCGGATTAATTGGGACGGTTAATCGGACTAACATGTCAAGTAGATTTTTTTTTTTTTTTCAAACAGGTCAAAAACCCAAAAAAATAAAATAAAAAAAATATGTAAAAATAGAAAAATTTAGATTAAGTATATATTATTTTATTACATATATTTATCTTGCAAAAATTTTTTTTTTTTTTTATATAAATTAATATTTGAATACTATGGTCCTGTATATGATCCCAAGTAGGTCAGATAAATCTTTTTGTTTCCTAAAATGAAGTCTGATAAAAAGTTTACAACACTTTACCACAAATGTATTACCCCAACGTAAATATGCAATCTAGATATTCAGGTGTGTATTACCCCAAGGTAAATATGTACTCTAGATATTCAGGTGTTACAGAAACATTATATTAGTTTATGTTTATTACTAAGCACATACATATGTTTACGTACTGCTGTTTCAAGTTTTACAACACTTCAAGATATTGTTGATCACAATTAGAAACAATGGAAGAGAAATTGATCCACCAACTTTTACATGTCCATCTAGAATTTCATTGGTAGAAGACAAGATGTCACAATGTAGAGAGGCCCATATATATATATAGGTTTTGTCATATTCATCAAAACAAGATATTTTTATCAAAATAAATAATTTTACCAAAAAATATTATTTTATTAAGAAAAATAGAAAACACTTTCTATATTCATCAAAAATAATAATTTTATTAAGCAAAATAATTATTTTTTGAAAAATCAATTTCTTAAAACCTTCTAAAATCGAGCAACATTTCAAGCAAGAAACGACCCTCAATGTTAAGATAATCGAACAAATCAACACACAAATATTGTAAAGGCTTCAACCACCTTTTCAAATACACCAAAAATCATAAAAAAAATATTTGGTATTTTTTATTTAATTGAAAAATTCATGAAAAATTCATATATGTGAAACTGAGCAAGATAAAAATTATATAAAAATATTTACTTAATAATAAATAAGTATACCTATTTTATGTGACAGATGGAGCCTTGACGATCACAATACACAAATCAATTTGATAAAAAAAGGCAAAAAAATTGATCCAATTTTTTTTTTTGCATCGAACACATGTTCTTTGAGTAGTAGCTTTTTGGGCCAAAATCAACCTCTAATATTTTGTTTTTTGAACAAATTGAAAGAGGTATATTGTAGATTATTCGATTAAGATTAAAAACCCTTAAATTTCTTCAAAAACTATTGATTATTGAAGATGATAAAATGGAAGAAATTTTAAAAAGCGTGAAATCTGCCATTTCAATCCATAAAATCTCTTGATTTTTCAATCTTGGATTCAAATTTTCTTGTTTTATAGATAATAAATAGTATTTTACAGCTATACAGCATGAAAAAGGACAAAACATGGAAAAAAAAAGAATAAAAAAGCTTGAAAAAATCAACCCGTGAATTCCTACATCAAATAACGGCTTCAATTGAAAATAATCGACGTTATTTTTACTCGATCGTTATTTGTTCATAAAACCCATTATATTTTCTAACCGGTCCGGTAAGCATAAAAACCGGCCGGTTTGACCGAAACAAGGCTGGTTCAACCCCTAACCCGCCGGTTTTAGGCCTGAAATTTTATGGGATTATCCTAGCCTGGGAGATCCCCAAAAGCGCCCCTATTCAGACTCGAAACCGTAGCAGTTCCGAGCTAACCAACCAGTTTTTCTAACAACGGATTAACCACAACAAACCTACAGACTAACCTCAGTAAAACGATGTTCGTAATTGTACCCTCTGTGCACTTGTGAAAAATAATGTCTCGAGATTGAATAGTGACAATTAAATTTTTAAATGATGAGATCTGAGTTTTAGAAAAATCAATTTTTTTTGTTTTAGAATAATCATCTAGGAGTAGTTTCTAAAATTTTAGATTGAAGGAATCCATTAAAGTAGGTCTTGCAACCGACCGAGGGAGTGGAAATAAGCTATGCTCCCAAGGGTGGAGTAGACTTGCTCACCACTAATAATCTCAATCCATGGAGCCCTTGTTATTTTTTGGAATACCCAAATTACCCTTCACTATGAGATTTTTCCTGCGGTGAACCTACTGACATTCCAGGACCCGACCTGAAGAGACGAAAAGATGCTTTGAATTCCAAACGTGTGTGAAGAAGATATTTGAGAAGGTTTCTGCCACTTTAATGGAGTCATGAATCAACAAAAGGCAAATATGCAATCAAATTTTCCACATTTTCACCCCATTGCCTTCAACAATGAAAACCAAAAATGTAAAAACAAAAAGAAAAATAATGAACAGACCGAGAGAGAGAGATCATTTAAGAGGGGGAGAGATCATAACATAATTTGGTGAATTAAATCTTCTATTATAAAGTACACACCCACATTAAATGTAAAAAGGTCATAAAAATAAGTTTTAATGATAAATTACGTGCTCTTTGATAAAGAGGAACAGCACCCACACATTACACATGTAAGTTGATGCTTGCAGGTTACAGTGGCCACCATTAAAAAAAAAGAAAAAAAAAAAAAAAAAAGCTTGAATCTGAATCTCTCAACCTTCCCCTCAGCCAAATCCAAACAGTCATCAATGGACAGTGCAATGATAATTGCCATAAAATCAATTGATAATATCCTCCACCACCACACATCAAGAGATCTCCAATTTCAATTAATTTTCTTGACCCCAAGAAAAAGAGATAAAAAAAAAAGCAAGCCATGTTTGCTTCTCCAATAGAAAAAGCACTGAAGAAACAAAGCCCAAATCATCAAAACCCTAGGGCCAAAAACCCACATCTCTCTTCTTGGTGTTATGTATCCCTCTCCTTTTTTCTCTGTCTCTTTCTGTAACCTTTCTCTCTCTTTACATGTCTGAAACAGTGGAGAAACAAGGCCCAATTCAATAAGTATCTTGAGAAACACAGCCCACATCTCTGTTCTTGGGTTTTCTCTTCCTTCCCTCTCTCTGTCTGGATTTCTTTCTCTTTCTTGTGTCTAATGACAAAGCTTCACACTTGAAGGAGAACTGTTTAATGGCAACACCTGTGAAGATCCAGAGCATGCCTGTGAAGACCCAGAATGCTCTGAATTTTTAGCAACTATAATTGTAATGAAATTTCCATCTTCCTCACTTGAAACCACACTTGATGAACCAGGAACAGGGTATGGGTACTTCTCCTCTGAAACTCCACCATTAATCTTCTTCATTTGAGCTTCAAGACATGGGACTTTACTCGCCCTTTCTTCTGAAACCATGCCTTTAACCTTCTTTGTTTGAGCATCAAGAGATGGGTTTTTGCCCACCTTTTCCTCTGGAACTCCACCATTAATATGCTTTGCTTGAACTTCAATAGATGGGTTTTTGCCCACCTTTTCCTCTGCAACACCACCATTAATCATCTTCATCTGGGCGTCAATCAGTTTCTTCCTGTACAGCTTCTCCTCTGCTTCTCTCAAAAACCTGAACCTTGAAGGTGGTGATGCCCTGACCCTATTGATTTCAGCCTCCCCAAAAGACTCAAACAAAGGATTGAAGCCACGGGGATAACACCCAGGTGAAGAGACACCACAGTGGTTATGGTCCATGGGGGCTAATGGAGCAGTGAGAAACTTGGGTGAAGAGAGAGGGGTCTCAAATGGGGTTTCAACAGTGGCCAAAATCTCACTCAAGCTCTTGTTCCTAGACCCTTTCCTGCTCCTTCCAGCCCTAGATTTGCCATCCTCTGACTCCAAATCTTCTCTGGACTCCTCTTTAATGGTGAATAGAAACCTTGGGGGTCCTGAAAGGTTGTGGATCCTCATAATCTCAGTCTCAATACCATCTTCTCCATATGGTTTTACCAACACATCCTTGCTCAACCCAGCCATGGCAGACTGTAACTGAATCTGGGGGTCTGGTTCAGGCCCAAGGCTCCTATTTTCTCTCATTACAGTGTAAGTATCATGAGTATCTGAGGAGAGAGAATGGGGTTTCTTCCAGCAAAGAAGGTAGAGCATTTCTCTTGCAGAGCTACTGTATTCTTCCTCGTCCAGCTCTCTGTGATTTTCTCTCTTCTTCCACCATAAAACGTAGTAGAGCTCTGCAAAAAGGGCAAGTAAGAGGAACCCAAAAACCAGACTCAGCCCAATGCCTAAACCACTTAGAGATCTCATCTCTTTCATGGGGGTAAAGCAGATGAGAGAGACAGGCAGGATTTGGGGTTTGTATGGGCTCTGATTTGATGGTTGTGGAAAACCGTTGGTGGTTTCGAGTTGGGTGGTTTTTAGAGAGAGAGAGAGAGAGGGGAAAAAGATTGGATTTATTTTTTTTTGTGGGCAAGGTGGGGTGGCATGCATTGTTCCAGGATTGCTCACAAGGTCCCTTTTCAACACAGCTGAGACATGAGAGAGAGATTATTAGACAGAGAGAGAGAGAGAGAGAGAGAGAGAGAGAGAGAGAAGAGAGAGAGAGTAAGTAAGTTTAGAGAGAGAGAGAGTAAG